ATTGGCTTATAAGATTTGGCATTTCCCCCTAATACAAGGCCTAGTCTTCCAGATATTGTTTCAACAGTAGACAAGAGTCACACAGCAACAGAAAAATAAGACCAGTATTTATTAGAGAGCATTTTAGAATGAGTTTTGCTCAAATATCCCACAGACACACAGTGACACTGCCCAGGCACTACACATGGAAACAAGCAGGTTCCCTGCATCTGTTATTCCCTATATTCACTACAATATTAACTATTCCATTCTCCTGAACCAAGATATAGGAAGAAGTCTGGGAAAACACATTTTGAATCAGGAAGGTGAAGGGATTAGATACCTGAAAATCTTCATGATTACACTGTCTGTAAAAGCTAGAATTTGTTTTGTGCCTTTGTTCTGTTGGCTGTGGCACCCTGTCTGTGCTTTTACATCCTTTAGAAAACCCTAACTAAATGTATAGCACGTAACACTTAGGACCAGCTTTCCTTGCCAACTTGATTTGCCACTTTCATTAATCTGGTTGTAATCAGGGCTATAAGCCCCTCACCATACTTGACAAGTTAAAGAAAAACGCCTTTCTGCAGTGCAGAAATACTTTGTTATTTATTCTGCTTTGTTTCCTGAGGCAGTAAAAGTCTTCTGCTCAGTAGTCTGTTCTACCATCAGACAAAGCACAGGTGAACCTCTCCAGCAGGCGCTCAGAATTTCCACATTGCTTGAACTCCCTGGATGTCTCCAGCTGTCTCCAGCATTTTAATACTCTGTCTGTTGACAGATCTCAAGTCCCTGCTGCCATTTCAACTATTCTTACTTCTTATACCCATCTTCCAGTTTTCAGATTGTGGTCTATTTCAACAAGTGGTCATTCTCCCATTTCATAGTGGGGAAGACTCCTCTGATGTGCTGGAGAACCTCCTTCAGGTCAATGACAGAGGAAATTCCAAAATCCAAGTTCCCAGCTCCCTCAACACTTCTGTAGTAACTTACCAAAACTGCTCAAATGGCTCTCATGCAAAGGAGTGTCTGTCCTTGGCAGAACTTCAGTAGGCTTCTGGTCAGACAAAACTAACTGTATAACTTACTTCTGCTGAGGCAATTAAAATTTATGTAGCAAAACTGCCTTTTTTTCTCTCCAGTGGCAGTTCCCAGGTTATTGGCACATAACCACAGAATCAAAGAACAAAATCCATTAGTTTACAGTCTGATCTGTCACTGTTTCAAAGACTCAGAGAATGGATAAGGATGCAGGCTGGCACACCAGGTCAGTGAAGAGCCAAGCAAAGATGTTCACCCTGTTGTGCAGAAAGCAGGAGCATCCCCTTCAAAGAGGGGCTTCCAGAGGCCAAGTGGTCATACTCTGATGTACCCCTACTGAATAAAGCCATCCTGTGGAAAAGGGAATCAAACGCTGCTCTTGAAGTATCTGGAAAGTGGCCCATCAGCAGAGATGGATGAAAAAGACAGGGAGAAAGCAGAGAAACTGGACAAGATTTGACATTTTTACACCCACCCCCTCTCTTAAATTGCCCTGTTAATCTGTTCCTCAGTACTGTAGATGCTTGAGAAGAAAACAGTGACAAAAGTGTCTCCAAATAACACAGTCTGGCCAATAGTTACAACTGTTATCAGGCACCTTTTAAACCAATATGTCTTGGAAATGGCAGGTGGAAAGAAGTGCATGCAAAGCCAGAAGGCTGTTACTTTATTTCTCAGACATGCACCAAACTGCTTATTAGAACAGGAGTTCCCTTTGTCTTTTCCATCAGAAACTGCCACAAAGCCAGAGCCACCATCTCACCACCTCCTTCACCCTGGCTTTTAGACAGCACTGCATCTAACATACAAAAGCTGATGCATTGCCAAGGCTCCGGTTTGTTACCAAACCGGGTAACAAAGGAGCACGATGCTGGGGCAGCCCTGCCTTGCTGCTGTCTCTCCTGAGGCAGTTACTGCACGGCTGCGGTTCCTCCTCCCGCAGCCTCTGAGGCAGGACACACGGTCGGGGCTCCGGCAGCAGAGGCCACAGCACAACTCCCTGCACCGCGGGGAACAGACAAGCAGGACCAACCCTCCGGCTGAGATGGAAGTGTGAGATGGAAAGAAGATGGGATCCACTGACCCGCTCCGGGAAGTTAAAACCATTACACGTCTTCAGATCTTCAGCCATTAAAAC